CCATAATAAGTATCAGAATTGAACAAAATTTCCAGAATCGGCCTGGGACATATCCTTTTCAACTCCCATCATTGCTTTTCCTCTGGTCTGTCAAGAATAGACTTTTCCCATTCCCATTGCCCATCAACTTCAAAATGATAAGGTTCACTGTTAAGGTTCAGCAGATATCAGCTCAACAATAGATCATTGTATCAAACATTCAATAGATGTATTATGTAAACTGTTATGTAATTGCTATAATAATATTTGTTGATGCCAAAGTTGCACTGCTTTCATTGAATGGAAGCAATATAAATTATGTCTCAAAATAGAAAATGGATGTGTTCATATGAGATGTTTTTGTTTATTTTGTCTTCAAGAACAAGGTGAGGTTGCCAGGTGGACCTGTCTTTCATGGAGATTCTTGTCAGGTGCATGATATTCAGCTTAATGGCTATGCACACTATTCTAGGTATGATTCCACTAGGCCAAATAAAAAAAAATTGTGTTGGCCACGACCGACCCAAAATGTATGAAATTGAGGCTCGGCATTTTAGTTTTTTGTTTTTTGTTTGTTTTTTTTTTGTTTTACTACACTGCAAAAAAAAAAAAAAAACTTCCTACCAACCTACCAAATTTTTTGATTTTCCAAAACATGGCCAACACAAGAATTTTTTTTTTTTTGGCCCTATATAAATATGTTTCTATTATAAGAACACTGTTGATTTCTATAATAAATATCTTAACTCCTGCATATATTGATTATATTATTGAGAAAGAATTTTCAGAAAATATGGGCTGATTCCTGTATAAATTTTTGCACAGCAAGCATTGGCGGTTTTTTAGCATAATTTTTGCAAGGAGGATATTATTTGCTGTACTTATTTTACAGTCTAGCCCTAGCTGACTCGAGCATAGTAAACGGTTACACATTTGCCGTACTTTTAAGTTTTTAATTGTGTGGATTATACAGTACCTCAAAAACCAGCTGAAATTTGCGCGGAAGATTACTAAGAAAATAGGTGTGCAGAATCGTATTTACTGCATAATACATTGTTTATACATTAAGATTACGTCTAAACCTTATTTTCGGTAAAATCTGTGTGGGAATCACCTATTATTTTTTGAAATGTTCAGACATATTTTTAGGTCACTCTTTTGTACGGAGGATATACTCCCCACGTGGGGGTTTACTTTAGAGTCTTTCACATTTGCCCTAGCACAGGCGATTAGGTGCTGAGAGGTTGAGGCCAACGTAGCTCCCTCAGGAGAAGATTCTATACAGGTTACGTTGTGAAAATAGAAGTAGCAGCCAGATAGTGTTGTCAGACCTTTAAGTTAAGTTCACATGAAGCCCGGATCCGGTCCGGAGCCTCGGACAAAAAATCATGAGTTGTTACGTTTTTTGTAAAGTGTACAAATTTAATGTGAACAGTCCTATTCTTTACCACTGAACCCATTTTTCACGATTTTCTGTCCGGGCACCGAACTGGATCCGTTCTTGGTGTGAACGTAGCTTAAGTGTCATTGATATATTTTCAGCCTGTTGCTAATATAATGATTCTACTTGAATCTACAGGGAACTTTTTGAATGCCCAGGGAACAGAGCCGATAGAATGGGCCAACAACATAATCTGGATACATCGGTAAGCTGAACATTTTGTTTCCTGGCTTTGTGCGCACTCAAAATTATATGTGATAAACAACTGTGATAGGTCTATATTCGTGTGTAATATGACAATATCGTGCCCGAATATGGGCACATCACAAAAATTTGTCATGTTAAATTTGATAATGTAGACTTATTTTTTACTATTTTATTCCTTTACTTGTAACTAAAAATTGTTTGTGCTCCGACCATGAAGATTATTGACATAATATACCTAGTGTACTACACAATATATCATTTGTACACTACCATAATGCTAACCCAGTTTTGTTGTAACACTTTGTCATTAAATGCTCGGGTAAGATTGTGAAACAACACAACATCGTTTTTTTTTCGATCATGATGACTATAATAATTTTTTAAAATATATTGGAAATTTACTACCATTTAGTATATCAATTCAAATTATTGTGGGACCCATCTGGAAATAAATACTTTATTTGGATTTAGAGGGTTATCTCAGATATCAACATTGATGACTTGTTTTCTCAATTTTGTTTCATTCTATTCAGTTGTCCAGGTTTTGTGATGTTATTCAGTTGATATCAAATAAATCAAATAAAATCAAAATTGTTACTTCAGGTTTTTCAAATGGAACCCGGAAGAAATCTACACGGCCATGACCTCTTCCTTGTCAAGGTAACAAATGCTTATATTCAAATATTCTGGACAGCGAACGAAAGAGGAAAAGGGAGGCCCAGAAGAGGAGTGGAGAGTCCTAGGCCCAATATATTCCTACATAATAATTACAAAACGAGTAATTTCATAGCTCCACCTGTGTGTTGATGTTTTAGCTTGTAGGCCTTGGACATGAATAGTTTTGAAAGTTCGTGCGTAATATGATCTTGGTTCAACCTGGAATTCACATTTCCTGAAAAGATCTTAAAATTGAATTGCCATTCAGATGTTAAAATTAATTGGCATCAAGTAATGTTGAATAGATGTATTATTTGCTTAATGGAATAAGTGCTATAAGTACCATTGCATTCTTTGTATGCATTAAGAAAAAATTGGTTTACAAAAGTTTCTCAAATAGTTTTCTTGCTAATTCATATTTTCTTGGGATAAGTATCCTTCACTTATAATTTAGTCTTCATTGTGAATTTTTAGGTTATCAAAAAATAGGTGATATATTCTACTAACTTGAATATTATGATTATGATTGTGATTAATATCAATAGATTTTCGTTGAATTTCAGTTGGAGCGTCAAACCTCCTGAGTCAGATTATCCCACAATAATTGCAGGGTAAGCTGTCATATCAAAATCAACCACAATATTTATTCATAAGCTTGGAGTTTATTTCTAGTTTTTTGCTGGCTACTTTTAATTTTCAAGCCATGGAGCGACAGCAGGAATAATTACAGTTATATTTTCATAAGCTTTTAACGTGTGCCGCTATCCATGTTAAAAAATGATTCATACACTGCAAAAATTGAGAATATAAAAATTAGAATAGAACTTCTAATGGTCATTTTAGTACTAAACCCACATAGTGCAACTAATTTGCCTCTGAATTGTTTGGTGGTTAAGATTCATACCTTCCAATCCCAAAGGTCCTGGGTTCAATCACAGGATTTTCTCATGAAGTCTGCAAAGCATCATTCCATCCCGTATTTGTGAGATACTTGGTGTTGGATGTAAAAGAAATACAGTAATACCTCAATTTAAAAATAGCGCCACCAATGCCAGCAGATCCTTATTCTGGAGACATGATGTGGAATATATAAAACGTGTAAGCTGCCGGCACCTTGTTTTCTGAGAGATAAAAACAGCCCCCCCTCCCACCTCCTTTTGTTAAGATGCTTCCTGCCCCCACAGAATCACATCATGAAGATTGAAATTAAAATTTGAAAATATGTTTAGGGCTGGGGTATTACTATTTTACTTTAGTAAATCATAATGATACTATATTTAAAGCACTTTAATATTAATCTGTGTAAAAGTTAAAGTACTTTAATATTTCTGTCTGTCCTTACATGATTCTTTTTCAACCAGTCAAGTTTTGAATTCCTCCTCAGCATATCAAACAATGGCAGCAGAGTCCATGCATTGCAGGGGTAGAATATGAAAATGTTTGAAGCAAGTAGTATGAACAAACATTGAGAATTCTATGAAGAATATTGTAAACCTTGATAGTCTTTAAGAGGATCATACAACAAGCAGAGAACTGCAGAGTAGAACAGAACAAGAGGTGAGGAAATAACTAGAATAAGAGATTACAAGGTGAGGAAATAACTAGAATAAGAGATTACACTGAATTTTTTTTATTACATTCAGTTTTTTGCATTATTATTATTTTTTTATTTGAAATGCATTTATTTAATTTGTTTATTTATAATGTATTTTAATATCAAGTCAATTGTAGGTGTTGTAACAACATAAAATCAAAAGCAATATGAAAATTGTTGGGTGCATTTCAAATTATAACAATAATTATTAACATATTTTTTCATTTTTTGAGCAAGAAGAAGTTTCCTTTATCTCAATATTAATTATAATAATAAATTGTAAAAAGTATCTGGAACACCTAATAGATGACTTGTTAAACTCTTTTCTTTCTATTTTGTTGATATCAGAACACAGATGAGGAGGAGGTGGAGCTTAGTATTTACTGTGTCATCTGGTTCACCGTGAACCATCAGACATTTTCAAATATGTTTAAGAAAGGTATGATCAAATATTTGATTTGTTAGTTAGAAATCTTTCTTTATTCTGGATACTCAGTATTTTTACACTGTTCTTCCCTGAGGTCCAGGGTATTATTTGTTTGTTGATAAGAACTAATCATAGGGTCAATCTTGAGTGATCATGATATACAGTTCTCTGTAATACATGATTACACACTATTGTGTAGTGGATAACAGTAGAACTATAGTACAAAGCACAGACCCTATATACAATATATAGGGTCAGTGTACAAAGTAAGCCACAAAAATGAATAGCAATTATTATACTATATAGACATCTATACAGATTTAGATGATTTATTGTCAAAGTAAACCATAAAGAAATATAAAATGGAATTGGTTTGAATGCAGGTTAATATTTACAAATAAATGTCGACAAAAGCTGAGCTTGCTGTTTGTAGTTGATTCCACAATCAACTATTTAGGGGGTTGGTAGAGGGCGCCACAATTACCCAACGCAGACAATAAAGATTTCCACACGACTACCATTAAAACAATGGTATATTTATTTGGTTTCTCTATGCTGATCTGGTGACTAAGCATAAAACAACAATATCTAATTAACATCAGTTAATTACATCATGTAAACAGTAATCATAAACATAATACATACAAAGTACCAAGAATTGCAAGTGAATCGTCTTCAGAGATCATAATTCTGTATATTGTAGAAATGTAGAAATTTACTGCAAAGAACCATCGGAATGAAAGTGGATTATTAAACATTATCAATTAAATATAAGAGTTTCATTCAGTAATCGAGTACAATATTAATAAAGCAAAGCATGACTCATAACCATAATATAATAATAAGAACTGCAGTGTCAGTCAATATTATAGAGTACACTTACGAAACTATGGCGCAACTATCCAAATAAGCAATAAGCACTCATCTGCCATCATAATGTTTTTAGGACTGTACATCATCTAATACATAAAACAAATCTGTTTGATAATATACTCAGTAGTGACACTGTTAGATACACGGGTATGAGGGTATGATCAAATCATGAACCCATCGGCTTAAACAATAAATCAACATTTGCCGGTACTTGAAAAATAAATCACTAAAAATACTGTGTTAATCATTAGGCACGTTTACTATAGATTAACCTTCATGAAATAATCACAGCAATATAATATATAATAACACTATCGACAGACTTGTAGACCTTTATAATACTCGCTGCTATATGCCAATGGGCGCAGCCATATTTGATTATGTTTTAAGATGACCTTTGACATGAGAAGAGAACAGACATGCCCGTTCCACAGCAGGATGCAGGCTAAGACAATGTATGCCGTACAATACATATAACTCAAATAACATTAAACTGCATAAATCACTAACTAGGTTAAATTGGGCAGTTGTTACCAACTTACCACTACAACTAATACTTTAGCATAGTAAATTTAAATACCTAATACTGTAACTTGTTTACACCAAAGGATCAAGAACAAGCAGTTAGAACAAAGGAATATACAAGGCAGTTGTATCTTGTTAAACTTCACCTTACTTAGGCTGTATTCATATAACAAGAGACTTTCAATGCATTAAAGGCAGTAATTAATACACTAAGTAACTAATCTTATAACACTATAAATATAAAAGGTAAAATAAAACATACCATAAATATACTTGAATCACATAATAAGTGAGTGGTCAAACACACGTCTGATCCCGATCACATTCAGGAGGCCACTGATTCGCGCTAATTTTTTAGACGCTACTGACCCACACTATCATTATGTAATGAGTGACGACATACAAATTTCTGCCCTCTATAATGGGTTAAGAAACCTTTTACACTGTTAATCATATATAGTAATAACAATTATACTGTACATACATATCAGATTCAGATAATTTATTGTCAAAGTGTACATGAAAATCTATAAATTTATTAGGTTGTATACAGATTAAAATTCACGATGAATGAAAAAAAAAGCCAAACTTAACTACCTAAATCATATACAGTATATTCCTTTTTATGATGATGAAATAATAAAATGCTTAAAAACCCCCTTTTAAATATATCCCTGTCCCACTACTTTGAGTCAGATTATTTACGCAGATTCAAGTTTATAAGAAAAATTAAATATATACCAAAATAATAAATCTGACTTAGTGCATCTTATTCATTTAATGGATGAATGCCCATAGGTGGAATTTATAATATACACTCTGTTGTGTGCTTGTTAGGTTTTTTTTATACAGAAAAACCAGAAAAAATATACAGGTACTAAAGAAAGAATAAACAAACTTGGAAATATCAAAATTTATGAAAATCAAAGAAATACAAGTTGATAGCAGGGGCGTACCGTGGGGGGGTCGATGGGTGCTGTCGACCCCCCCTTTTTAGAGAAAGTGCCCTTTAAATATGCTTGCTTCACTCACAAATAACGCACCCCGCGAATTCTGAAAGCTTCGCTAAATTGCTCCGAGTTCAGCTTGCCCCCTGCGCTTTTGTTTCGACCCCCCCCCTCTTAGATTTTTCACCATACGTCCCTGGATAGGCTGTACAAAAAAGCCCCAATAGATTGAAAAGTAACATTTTTAACATCAATATGCAAGAAAGTAACATGTATATGCATTATATGATTAAACACTTACACTACAAAAATATAAAATCATAAGATCAATAGTGTGTGATTCAAATTTGATGAGAACTACACTATAAACAGTTGAGGTTGGCAGATTACAGTATTAATGTTTTCAGTTTAATAACTTCAACTCTATAGATATCATTTATGTAGAATAATTAATATTTTAACAAAAAACCCCACAACTTCAGCTCTATGTATATCATATTCAATAATGAAATATTTTAACAAGTTTATAAACATTATGCCAACTTTATATTTCGATATTATTGTATTCAATAATTATTTTAAGTTTAAGATTCATAACTTAACTCTATGTGGATGATATGAAATAATGGATATGTAGATATTCCTACACTTATAAATTTGAATTGTTGAAAACACTCAAGTGAAGCAAGTGGACTGTCAGTATTTAA